AATAAATCTTAGGCATTTCACCCTTCAATCCTCATTATCTCCTCTGTAACTAGATCCCTCATACTTCCATGTCTTCTGTCTGTGTGTGACCTGCTGAGTTTAATTAGTTTCTTGCCCAGTTAAGGTAATTTACTGGAGCAAGGACAACTTATTGGTAGCTACATCACTGAAGAAGATGGTACCCCCTCCCCCCAAAATTACTAGGTTTCAAACAGTCCCCCAGAAAGGAGGAAAGGGATTAAAGGTATAGATAGTGGCAAGGTTGCCTTGATGTAAGCATCAGAAATGGAAAGGAATTAAATTGGAGAATTAGAGATTTCCATTTTAAAATCAGTATTACCTATAAGGAACACATTCTGTCTATCAAAAGAAATTCTAATAATAAGAGGAAACGTCATGCTACAGAAATTTAAAAAAAACAGTGGCAGTCAAAGAGAAAATTGTTCTGTTTTGCAGGATTTTGGCAGTTTAAAAAAAAAAAGAAAAAGGAGGCGGCTATGCTGGGTACAGTAGCAATTTATCATGACTTTAAAAAGATCTGTCAACACAAGAGATCACCATGAATTGCATCAGCGGGCTGTCAGTCACCCCTTATGTTTCACTGCCAACCACAGAATAGACTATTAAAACATTCCAGGATTATAACACATGCATGTCATTTTCAGAGGGAACTGTCTGTTAGTAAGGTCTGATGATCTTCAATCCTGAATGACAGCTTCCGAAATGCTTGCAAAGGAGAGGCTTTGGAGGCTAACTTTGCACTGAAGGATGAAATGAAGTGTCCTGAGGTCAGACTATCATCAAAGTTTGAGCACCTTCCAAGGTACCATTAAACCCAACTCATATTTCAAACTATCCTTGACATTGTTTCAAGAACACGCAATTACCAACAGACTGCATATTAATTATCTCTCATATAAAGTCCTATGAAAACAGCCAAGCAAAGAAAAAATTACAGTGTAAACAGCAACTAATAAATAAAGGACAGAAGTCACTTTATTAAGAATCCATCAGGAGGCTGAAGCACTAAAATTGAGTTTGAGCTCAGCCTGGGCTACACAGCCAGGCCCTGTCTCAAAAAAACAAACAAACAAACAAAAAAACAAACAAACAAAACTTCACACAAGGAAAATAAACAAAATCCCATTAGAAACAAAAAGTTTTTCCATCTGTCCTTGTTGGTATGAAAGTAAATGTGAGAGAGCCTCAGCACAGGATGCCCTGTGGGGACCACAGTCAGAGAGCTGCAGCACAGAATGCCCTGTGGGGACCACAGTCAGAGAGCTGCAGCACAGGATGTCCTGTGGGGACCACAGTCAGAGAGCTGTAGCACAGAACGCCCAGTGGGGACCACAGTCAGAGAGCTGCAGCACAGGATGCCCTGTGGGGACCACAGTCAGAGAGCTGCAGCACAGAATGCCCTGTGGGGACCACAGTCAGAGAGCTGCAGCACAGGATGCCCTGTGGGGACCACAGGCAGAGAGCTGTAGCACAGAACGCCCTGTGGGGACCACAGTCAGAGAGCTGCAGCACAGGATGCCCTGTGGGGACCACAGTCAGAGAGCTGCAGCACAGAACGCCCTGTGGGGACCACAGTCAGAGAGCTGCAGCACAGGACGCCCTGTGGGGACCACAGTCAGAGAGCTGCAGCACAGAACGCCCTGTGGGGACCACAGTCAGAGAGCTGCAGCACAGGGTGCCCTGTGGGGAATCACTGTACCAGCTCTTCCTCTAAATCTCTAAGGGACTCAAGGCACTATAGCAGGTATTCTATTCTGGACAACTGCAGAAAAAAAAATGTGGCCATCACTTAAATAGTGATGTAAATATGTACCTAGCAGGTTTTAGTTCTCAACTATAAATTATTTATGTATCTATTTCTCTTAGATCTGCTTTTATCTTGTTTTCAGAAGCAGAAAATTTGCCATCCCAAAACTTCCAGAAATTGAGCCAAAGCAATAAGGTGAGAAGTCGCATACTTTTAATGATTCCCAGCTGCAAGGAGCAAAAACTAAACAGCAATGAAACACTGGTCTCATTCACAAGAATGAATTAACCTAGGACTGTAAGAGACTTTCTCTCACTCTCATCCCAGAAGGACTCAAAAAGCTTTAGCCACCATTCAATTTATGCATCTTCAGGACCTAAACAATGGAATTACCAAAATAAATGGACTCCTAATTCCAACTTCCAAGGTTTCATTCAAGTTTTTGACTTAAAAGTATCTTAATGTAACTAACATGTGCCCTGCCACTGCTTTTGGGAGCAGGGGTGGGAGGTATATGGTGTGTGAGAGACATAACAGGTCACAGCTCTGATCATTTGTCTAAATCACAACAAAATAAAAGCAGCAGCTGTTGCTTCAGGTCTGCTGGGGGCTAATATCACAACTCTAAGTCTAGATGTTAGCTATGACCTACAAGCACACCTCTGGGTCTACTTCCTTACATTATCGTCATTTCTGCCAATTACTGTATTTTAAGTTAATTTACTGTGAAAATGTGCCCATTGTGAAAGGAAGATAATCTAAAGGATACACTAATACCTTGCTTTCAGCTATCAGACTACTGCGATAATGGGACTTAAAACACTAGAACTTCCCCCCAGTAACTACGGTCTTGGGAAGGAAAAGGCTGGTGCCAGCCAGAGGGGGACCTTGTCTCCTACAAAGAAACTTCATGTAATCTGACCACTTCAGACTTCTTGCAGGAGAGACTGGAACTCAGACAATAGTGGGTCCATGTGGAGCAGGACAGTATCTTGACCAGGACTACTTAGGTATGCATAACCCTCATGGCAGGGTCCTGAAGATGAACCTGGAGGGCACTGGATCTATTTGCTCCTCTTTCCAATGTGAACACTGAATCAATTTCCTTTCTCTGCTTTTCACTATTACTTGTCCCTGTGACTGATTCAATGAGTATGTGTAGCTGAGCCTCACTTGCTAAGCCTGCCAGAACCAGACTTTTATTCTAGTGGTTCCAGTTTCAGAAAAAGCAAAGAACAAACCTTATTTCACTGTTTCTTTGAGAAGAAAATCCTTTTCAAATGTTATCTGAACTAATTACTAATACGGAGCTTAAAATTAGTCATGTTCATTGTTTTTTAGCTCAAAATAGATATTAACATCAATATAGATACAAAAATACATTGAATACATTCCAAAAAATAAGTAGTAAAGAGTCAGGTACAGTCTGTACTCAGTTCCTGAGAATACATCTTGATATAGACACATTTGATATAGAAATCTTGTTCTAAACTTTTGGTTTCTCCTAATTTTAAAAAAATACATTCTATACTAGGCCTGATACTGTATGCATGCCCAGAAAATATAGTAATAACAATCAGTGTGTACTGGTATTCTCTAGTCCAAATACCACTCTAAATACTTAGCATGTTCACTTAATGTTCAAATAATCCAGTGAAAAGTGATGCTATTGTACCCATTTAAACATAAAGCTCAGTCATTTCCCAAGAACACACTACTGAACAAAGGGGCAGCACTGGGAGCCTGTAAATCTGTGTAAAGGCAGACATGCACAGTCATCAACTGCTTTTGCTACAGACCTGAAAGAAGCAGTTTATGAAAAGATGCACCTCAAGTAGGTGTCATTCAGGTTTAGACAGCTAATTCTAGCTCCTAGAAGGTAGTATGAAACAAGTGGAAGAAAAGGACCCATGAAAGCAGCAAGGCCAGGAGGAACGAGAACAGAGACAGAACATAGAGAGAAGCAGTATTGTGTAGCCCCAAAGCAAAATAAGGCAGATTGACAGGTATAGCTTATATGGAATTTTAAACTCTGAATGACCTGACATGCTGGGGAGGGTGATAAAGTAGTTATTTTCAACACTTTTCTTTTACTTGAGTATTCTGTAACACCAAACTATTTCTAACCAGAATGATAAAATCTTTACCTCTGTTGGCACGAAATAATTAAATTAGTTGATTCTGGGAGAAGAATAATCATGAAGATAGAGCTGACAAAGTATAAACTTTCTTTCCCAGTTGAGATTCAGAAAGGAAAAATACAATCCAATGACAGTGAAAGAGTTTCTGACCCTTCCTTCCACTCTTCCTTGTTTCTAGGCTCTCTGGGTAAGAAAAAAAATCTACATCACTTTCAGATACAGAAAGTTAATCCATAACAATTCTATTCCAAGCAATAGAAAACAAGTGCAGGAGAATAAGGAGAAGATCCTAAATTACGGCTACATGAACTTCTAACTTTTAAAAACTGTTGTAACATAGCTCTATCACAGCCAGTGTTAAATAGCATGGTGTTCTTTATCTCAACATAGAGAAAGAAAGTCTCCATGACAGTGCTCATCTGGTTTGCAGTTGTCTTTGGCTTTGGTTAGTATAACATACATACATACAGACAGACAGACATACTTACATACATGCATTATCGTTAACCATTTTCTGAATTTCATCATCATTCTTGACACTATGCAGTTAGAAATGTTCATTATTTATAGAGGAATTGATACTGAATCTGTACCAGATCCATAAGAAAGAGATGGCCTGCAGCCTTTCCCTCATGAAGAAAAAATTTCCCCCTAACCTAAGGTCTCATGTTGGGCACAGTACCTTCAGTGAATGGCAATGTAAGTGTAACCATAAAATCCTAAATTTCCAAAGGAAAGGAAATCTCATAACTTTCTAGTTTTAGGACTAGATATCAGCAAGTCAAACCTTCAGTTTATACTTTATCACAAGTAAGTGAAAGGACCTTTTCCCCTTTACGAGGAGAGGTGGTAAACCATTACTTTCTCTCTCAGGGTTCAATCACAAATCACCAGGCTTTTGTTCAACAGGTAACATGCTGACAGAGTAATTACCAATCATATCCAGAAGACATCGAAAACAATAAAAGTCAAGTAAGTCTAACATAAACCAAGAGACCCAAGTGCTAATATCCCTAGCATCAATAATAGATATAGGCAAAGTGCATGCAAAGGGCATCTGGCATAGTCACTTTTATTCAGAGCTACTTTACCTCAGTAAGGCCAATGTTCTTTCTCTTAATGACATTCTGCAGAGAGTTGCTCAGAGTCCTGGTCAGTAACAGGTTTGTGGACTTACGGATCATGTCATCAACTTCAGTGGAGCTGAAATGTAAAGGATAAACCCAGTTGCATCCTAGGTGACTAGATTTGGGAAATGGGCGAGTGCAGCAGTTCTTGCAGTAGAAACAGTTGTAGCTAGATTAGTAGAAACAGAAGCATCAGCAGTGGTAAAGGGAGGAGTAAACTGCTAATGTGTACTGTGTGCCAGAAAGTATTCCAAGTACATTAACAAATATCTACAAAACTCTGCCTAGATTGCTTTCTTCACATTTGAATAATTTTCGAAGTGAAGGCTAACTTGCACAGATTCAAAAAAGGAGTCATTCTGAAGCCATGAAACTTCACTTTGGATTTTATACTTCCAGCATCAGTTGTAACATTATGCATATAAGACACACACACACGCACACACACACACGACAGAGTTAAAACTAAAAAAAAAAATAGTTAGCTTACATCTTCTTAACTGTGTTCATCATCTTCATCACTTAAAACTACGCTTTTTTAGTCTCCTTTTATAAGTTATAATACACACATGTGTATTTGTTTACAAACATGAATGTAACATTACAGGCTAGAATCTGTATATGAAGGAAAACAAACACAGATTTATTTTTCTGAGATTGAATGACCTCACTTAAACAGTGTAAATAGACCCATTTTCCTGTAATTCAATGATTTTATTTTCTTTTAGGGGTGAACAGCATTCTATTTTATATGTGCCAGATTTTTATTATCAACTCAAGTGTTAGGTGACTTTTAAGGTGATTCTATTTCCTTGCTATAGTGAATAGAGCAGCAATGCACATGGATGTACAAATATCTCTGTAGTAGGATGTGGAGTTCTCTTGATATAAATAACACAGGATGGTTCTATGCTTAATTTTTTGAGGTACCTCTAGACTGACTTTCATAATCCCACCAGCCAAGAATAAGGGTTCCTCTTCTCCATAACCTCTCCAACATTTGCTGTTGGATTTCTTGATGACAGCTGTTGAGACCGAGGTAAGGTGGAATGATAATTTCAATATTCTATTAAAATACTTTTTCTCTGAGTGACCTCAGAGATACACAGCAATTAAGTACTTACCCAGAAAACAGAGCCTCCACACTCTTTTCTTTATTTTTTTAAGGTTAGAAAGACAAAACACCCCAAAATTCTTTACAAAGATTTACTTTCACAGTGTTCAGAAAAATAAAATCTATGTGTGTATTGTACTTTTAATGAAATGTTGGAATATCACTTTATTAGAGGAGCCCCTGCTACTGATAAGAACTTTCAAAATAGCTGCATGGCCTCAGAATTTATGGATAACACAACTTTTCATAATATGTAAGAATTTCTGTCTGATGGAAGGGAAATGTTCATACAAAAAATTAATAATTATTTTTAAAGCTGCATAAGAAATCTCCATCAAACACTTCTCTGACTTGGTGACCTTTGTTTGAGAGTACTGTTTCCCATGTTTCCCACTTGACACACTAAGTCTATTCTGAGACAGCTCTGAACTGAAGAAATGATCTCTGATCCCACTTACAAAGTAAATATATTCTAAGCTGAAAGGCAAATGTCAGCACAGTGTTAGAAAGAAAGCGCAAAATTCCTTCAAGATGAGGAAATATTTCATTTAAATTGTCAATGTAAACCTCATCATATGAAGTTTTGGATAAAAAACTTAAAAATACAGATCAACTCTCAAAAAAAAAAAAGAAAAAAGAGGAGAAAAACACTCTAATGTAACATTAAGAAAACAGAAAACAGTTTCATTCAAAAACTTAGAATTCAAATAAGAAGAAAAATATTTAAATAATTTATACACATCCCAATATTATATTTCCCCAAAAGAGTGACAATAGGCCATTTTGTAATTGACTTGAAATAATTTCCTGTCAAAAACATACATAATGAGATCTTAGAGATTGACCTCTGTGAGGTTATCCAATCACTAGGGTGTATTGTAGAGCTACAACCATAGGATGGAAGCCATGGAGAAAAAAAAAGTCTTGGTATTTACCTTTCAAAAGTAATCTGATTTCAAAAGGAGGCTTCTCTATAAAATTCATCTTGGTTGTGGATGGGAAAATTGTACAATCCCCAAGGTTTTTTTTTTCATTAAGAACAATAATTAAAAGAGTTTTTTACACTACCCAGGAGGCTGATGCAGGAAGACAGCAAATTCAAGGCCTGTGGGGACTACAGATGAGAATCAAGGTTGTGTTGAGCAACTTAGCAAGATCTTGCCTTAGCATCTTAAAGAAACAAAGGCTGGAGACTTGCTCATTGGTAGAGAACTTGTCTAGCATACTAGAAGACCTATGTTCAACCCAAACTAGTAGAACAGTTAATAAAAAAAGTGACTCAACCCAATTACGAATTATACTTATTTTCAGAAAAGCTTGACAAAAAATATGTTCTGTTCATTCACTCTTTTGTCAATTTACCAAGCGTAGGTACAGATGTAGTGTTGAGCCTTTGCAGGCACCTCCCTGAGCAGGGTGGCTGCTGTGCTTATCTTGAGTTACTGCAGCAGTTACTATTAGCATTTAGGTCCTCAGGTAAGTAAAATCCTCCTTGGAGATAAAGGCCTTCTTTAAGCTTCTTAATGTCTTTACTACTAAACAGCACCTAACTAGATATTTGCCAAAAGATATACAGACTAAACCAATAAATGAGCAAAGAAACAAAAAAGCCTGTGGTTAAGATAGACACACTAGAAGAGCAATAATACTGTTTCCAAAGACTGTGTTATTGCTCCATTCTCACTATAAAATTTTATCTAGTAGAATGGTAGAGTAGGTTAAACGATAATTTCTAGTATTTTTTCACTGGTATTGTTTAAAATGCAAAAAATATCTTTTTACATCATTCAAAAGCTATTCCTGTCCACCATACTATAAAAAGCAGTATCCTACGGTGAAAAGCCTATTATACTAAGGCTTCCAAACTCATAGCTAAAGAAATAGAAAACATTTTACATGGTATATATTTTAGAGAAAGTAATGAATTTAGCACTGGACTGATTCCCAGTGTCATCTGTTATACCTTAGATGAAGATCTTCTGAAAACTTCAGGCAGGCGTAGATAAATTCTTTAATCTGGTTGTAAACTTTTGGCACAAATTCAGAGAAAGGAAACTTTTTGGGAAATGGCTGCTGTAAACGTAAGAATTAATGAGAGAAAGTCACTAAATCTATTGAAGACACTTGAAAATTACTTAAAATGAAAAAACCAACTTTTTCCTACTTTGTGAAGTATAGATCTAACAGTATCAAATGTTAAAAGAAAACTCTAAGAGATTTCTAATACTTAAAAGAATAAGACTAGTGTGCGAACTAGTTTTTAATGTCAATTTGACACAAACAAGTGAATGTGGAAGAAAGAATCTTAATCAACAAAATGCCTCCATAGGATTGGGCGGCAGGCAAGTCTGTGGGGCATTTTATTTTTTAATTATTTCTATTTATTTATCATTTTAGTTTATATACATGTGTGTTTCACCAGCATGTATACATGCACACCTCGTATATTCAGTGCCTGAGGAGGCTATAAGAGGGTGTCAGAAACCCTGGAACTCGAATTCCAGGTGATTGTGAGTTGTCAGGTATGTGTTTAGAATTGAACTTGGGTCCTCTGCAAGAGTGGCCACAGTGCTTTTAAGCACTGAGCAATCTTCCTAGCTCTAAAGAATTTCTTGGTTCATGGTTGTTGTGGAAAGGCCCAGCTCACTGTGGAAAGGTAGTCCTGGGTGTATAAGAACACAAGCTAAGCAAGCTATAAGCAAGCAAGCCATTAAGCAGCACCCTCTACAGTATCTGCTTCAGTTCCAGGTTCCAGGTTCTTGCCAGGAGCTCCTTTACTGACCTCTCTAGAGGATGCACTGAGACCTGAGAGCTGTAAGCTAGAATAAATCTTTCCTCTTCCAAATTGCTTTTGGTCATAGTGTTTCACCACAGCATAGAAATCCTACGTCAAAAACTATTACTGGGTTATGGGATAAGTCTGTGGCAGAGCTGAACACGTGTTATTAAGAGAACCGTGGAATTACTCTGAAACTTTGGACTAGAAAAGTTCGTTGAGTATTTGAGGCTTAATGAGCTATTGTGGGACTTAGTAGTTAAGAATGTTGAAAGTCAACCTCCTTGGTGATCAGGGAAATGCAAATTAAAACAACTTTGAGATACCATCTTACACCTGTCAGAATGGCTAAAATCAACAACAACAATGATGGCCTTTGCTGGAGAGGTTGTGGAGTAAGGGGCACACTCATCCATTGCTGGTGGGAATGCAAACTTGTGCAACCACTTTGGAAATCACTGTGGCAATTTCTCAGGAAATTCGGGATCAACCTACCCCAAGATCCAGTAATACCACTCTTGGGAATATACCCAAGAGATGCCCTATCATACGACAAAAGCATTTGTTCAACTATGTTCATAGTAGCATTATTTGTAATAGCCAGAACCTGGAAACAACCTAGATGTCCTTCAATGGAAGAATGGATGAAGAAAGTGTGGAATATATACATATTACAGTACTACTCAGCGGTAAAAAACAATGACTTCTCGAATTTTGCATGCAAATGGATGGAAATAGAAAACACTATCCAGAGTAAGGTATCCCAGACCCAAAAAGATGAACATGGGATGTACTCACTCATATAATTGGTTTCTAGCAATAAATAAAGGACATTGAGCATATAATTTGTAATCCTAGAGAAGCTAAATAAGAAGGTGAACCCAAAGAAAAACATACAGTCATCCACCTGGATATGGGAAGTAGACAGATTCCCGGGCAAAAACTGGGAACTTGGGGGTTAGGTGGCATGGGGCTGAGGGGAATTGGAGTGAGAAACGTGAGAAGGGGAGGATTGAGGGAGCTTGGGGGAATGGGATGGTGGGGATAAAGGAAGGGTGGCCATGGGAGCAGGGAAATATATATCCTAATTAAGGGAGCCATCTTAGGGTTGGCAAGAGACTTGACTCTAGAGGGGCTCGCAGGTGTCCAGAGAGATGTCCCCAGATAGTACCTTGGGCAATTGAGGAGAGGGAACCTGAAATGACCCTATCCTATAGCCATACTGATGAATATCTTGCATATCACCTTAGAACCTTCATCTGGCGATGGATCGAGATAGAGACAGAGACCCAAATTGGAGCACCGGACTGAGCTCTTAAGATCCAAATGAGGAGCAGGAGGGAGAACATGAGCAAGGAAGTCAGGACCACGAGGGGTGCACCCACCCACTGAGACAGTGGAACTGATCTATTGGGAGCTCACCAAGGCCAGCGGGACTGGGACTGAATAAGCATGGGATGAAACTGAACTTTCTGAACATGGCGGACAATGAAGGCTGATGAGAAGCGAAGGACAATGGCACTAGGTTTCAATCCTAATACATGAATTGGCTTTGTGGGAGCCTAGCCTGTTTGGATGCTCACCCTCCTGGACCTCGATAGAAGTGGGAAGACATTGGACTTCCCGCAGGGCAGGGAATCTGGACTGGTCTTCATTCTCGAGAGGGAGGGGGAATGGAGTGGGGGGGAGGGGAGAGGGGAGGGGAGAGAGGAGAATGTGTGGGAGGAGGGGGAGGGAAATGGGAAATGGGGAGGAGGCCGGAAATTTTTTTTCTCAACAACTAAAAAAAAAATAAAGAAAAAAAAAAGAATGTTGAAAGTAATGTAGAATATGGAGTCCTGACTTGAATGGTTTCAAAGGGAAGATTGAGAATTCCCTTCAAGACTCTAATAGGGGTTGTGGGCTAGAGAGATGGCTCAGCGGTTAACAGCATTGGCTGCTCTTCCAAAGGTCCTGAGTTCAATTCCCAGCAACCACATGGTGGCTCACAACCATCTGTAATGAGGTCTGGTGCCCTCTTCTGGCCTGCAGGCATACACGCAGACAGAACACTGTATACATAATGAGTAAAAGAATCTGTGATTCTAGTCAGCTGGGGCTGAAGAATTAGCTGTATTTAAAAAGAAACCAGAACTGCTTACGTAAAGACTTTACTTTACCAGGACAATTGGTGCTGGTTAGTTAGAGTCTAGAAACTAATATCCCCAGTATCACTGAGGACATAAATCTGGGAATAATTTTTCAGGGTCAGCACATTGTTGTGGGATATTTGTACACTGTGAAGGTATATTGCTGTGATTGGCATGATAAAAAGCTGAATGGCCAATAGCTAGGCAGGAGGTATAGCTGGGATTTCTAGGGAGAGAAGGAAGGAGAAGATGAATGTAGATATGCAGGAAACATGGACAGGAGTGACACAAACAAGACAGAGAGGGAGTCAGACACACAAAATGAAGAAAAGGTAAAAAGCTGCATAAAATGTAGATTAATATAAATGGGTTAATTTAAGATATAAGAGCTAGTTGGTAATAAGCCTGAGCTATAGGCCATATTTGGGAGCAGGCTGGAGGGACTTAGAAAAACTTACTAAAGCACATAGAGGCTGTGGTCCACTGGGATCCAAGACTACATATCATGCTGGCAGCTGAGCATGGTTAATATTTAAGAGTCCTCCAGGTGGTACTGATTTTTTAGGGCACAAAGGTTAATGAAGAGCAGCTATGGTTTGACATGAGAGGTCGAAAAAGGCCAATGGTAAATGTGAAGACTCAGGACTGAAGGGGTCACAGAGAGACACTAAGGCTTGGCAGCATATGGCAGGGTCAGAGTTCCCTTAAGAAAGCCCAGAGGAGCCTATTCGTTGCAGAAAAGAGTCTAGATTCAGAAAAGATACCAGACTTTTAGGGTTGTCCCATGAGGAAAGCAACAACTGTGCAGTAGAGCTAGCCAGAGCCTAGGAAACAAACTATGTATACTGCCCATGGCAGAGCCAAGAAGTATTCCTGATCCTTTGGAGACCAGAGGATCATGAGTCCCAGACATCAAGCACTGATCTTTTTACACTGTTGAATTTGGGCTTTGATTTGGTTTATGCCTGTGCCCTGGATCTTCCTTCTTAGAGTAAGAAAGTATTTAACTTATTTTCAATTTTACAGAAGCACGCAATTGAGAGACCCTGGAATTTTACAGATGTTTTAGACATTTTAAAGAAACGGCTAGTCTAGAGAAACTTTGAACTTGAGACGTTAGATGTTTTAGAGGATAAAATTTTAAAGTATCTGAATTTTTTTAAAAAGACTGTAGAAGTTTTAAAAGTTGGGATGTTTTACACTGTGATACTGATGTTAATATGAAATTTGGGGAAATAAATAAGAAAGGAAAGGTTATGCCTTGATAAGGAATGTGTTTGTGTGTCAAGCTGACAAGGGGCCAACTGTATTGGCTGGCTTTTAAGTCAACTTGATGTCAAAACTAGGGTCATATGGGAAGAAGCAGACTTAATAGAGAAAATGAATCCATAAGACTGGCTTACAGGTAAGTCTGTGTGGCATTTTCTTGATTGATGACTAGTGTGGGAGAGTCCAGATTACTGTGGGTGATGCCATCCCTGAGAAGGTGGAGCTGGATGATGTTAGAACAGGCTGAGCAAATCAGTAAATTGCACTGTATCATTTCCTACCTCTAAGTTCCTACCTTGTATAAGTTCTTGCCCTGACTTCCCCCAGTTCCAATGTGCCATGGAACCACATTGGAAAAGTATCTATGACTTCATAAATAGCAAGACAATACTTAAATCTGTACTTTCATACTTCTCATGTGAAGGGCTTACGTGCAACGAAGAGCTTGGGTAGAAAGGGGTGGCTAGAGGAAAACTCCTCTGCACCATCACTTTGGTGGAGAGAAAGCTCTTGATGCACTGTCAAAACAATAGAGTTATACCAAATAGAGCAAATTTAAATGTCTGGTCTTAGAAGAAACTATTTGAATAGTACAGCGAAATTAAAAATTTCAAATTTTAATCAAATTACGTTACCCCAGTGATCTGAAAAACTCTAAAGATGTGTAGGACCTCAAAGCCTTTTTCAGATTTCTAATGAAGTGATTCTGTATATCAAGACCCAGAAGAAAGTCTTTGAAAATTTTAAAAATCTATCGATATGGAGTATCTCAGTTTCAGAGAGAATTTAATCTAACTGAAAAGAAAGAGAGAGAGAATTTTACCTTAATGCATCCCTTACCTTTTCCAGTTCTATATCTTGAAATGGAAATTGTCCTACAACCTTCTTATATGTCTCTTCACTCGTTACTGGTATGGGACTATAGTTGTCAGAATCAAGTATGTTTCTGTAAAAAATGAAAAGAGAGGGAGGGAGAAAAGAGGGTTAAACACAGAGACTTTTCCAAGACAGTTTAAGGATTGTACATTTACCACAATTTCAGATAAACACTTCCCAGTCCTTACTACACTCCTACAATTCAGTCATTTTGGGCATTTTAAAAAGAAATCAAGAGAGAAACTAAGCCCTGGAACAAGTGGAGAACAACTATAACATGACCTTCTAGTATCTGTGATTTACAAATGGGCAGAAAATTAAGGGTAACTGGGAAGCAAATGAGAAGAGAATATTGGCGCTGATTATTTTAGTAAGATATATTGAATCATAACCACAGTTTTAATTATGTACCAGACAATGCATTCTAACTTAGGAAAGTGTCAGAGAGAAAAAATAATTTCTAATAATTAATCCAAGCTATGTTCCTTCTCCTCTATCTTCTGCTTTGTACTAATCACACATGTTGTTTTCCAGTAATAAGTTCTCTCTCCCTGAGTACATTAAGAGTTCTCTGAAAGCAGAAAACTTCCTATGAAATCCAAACAGAAACCCATGAAAGCACAGAATGCAGTGGCTAGTCCATGCTGTCTCTACTGCCTGCAGAGATAACCTTACCATGAAAGCAATCATCAGCACTAGTTACATCAGGATTCTAGAAGTGTACACACTTACATTAATATATGAATGAATTGAACTAAATAATGATATGTTCATGAACTGTTCAGAATAAGATTAAAAGATGAGGGTGAAGGTTTAAAAATAAACTTGAAAACAAGATAAGCTGACAAGGAGACACAAGCAATGGGCAAGAAGAACTCTTGAAGTAAAGGAGAGACTGGAACTCCAATGTGGGCTGCACTGAACCTGCATGCTACTTTGGGTAATACAGTCATTTCCATAATACTAGCCCCAGAGACCCAGAGGTCCTCTAACCTCCAGGGTCTTCTTTACTTCTTCAGAGACCCTACTTTCCATTGTGGAGGCATTTCTCCTCCTTGGTTAATTTATTCCTGGGTTTCTTTTTTGTTTGTTATATATATTTGAGGATACAATGAATGATGTATGGGGTTGTTAACCTGAGTTTTTCTCAGCATGCCTGATCTTAGAATATAGAAAAGCTACTGATTCCAGGATATTGATTTATGTCCTGCAACTCTGCTGAGGATGTTTAAAAGTTCTAAGAGTTTTCTGGTGGAGTCTAGATGTCTTTAAAGTGGAGAATCATATCATCTGCAAATAAGGATAATTTTAGTCCTCCCTATTTGTATTCCTTTTTTTCTTTGTCTTGCTGTATTGCTGTGGCAAAAACTTCAAGCACAAAATTAAGATTAAAACAAGAAGATAGCTTTATCTTTCTAGAAACTGAAATGAAATGACAAGAGATGTGTACTAAAGAACTATTCTCAAGAGGCCTATGCTGGGAGGAAATGTTACAGAAGAATTTCCCATTATTGTATGTATATTGCAATAACTACTTAAACAGCATGCTTCAGATATGAACTACAATAAGCCAGTTCTCTGCTTATGAAAAATAATGATGAGAGATAACATAAGTTATTAAATAGTGGATAGCTAAAAAAAGTGAGCCAAACCCAGTAGGATATACCAATAATTCCAGCACTTAAAAGGTGGAGAAGAAAGATCAGGAGTCCAAGGTCATCCTGGGAAGTAGGAGACTCTGTCTGTAAAATAAAATGTTTTTCTAAGGACCTACTACTATCCATGACAGCTTAACTACCACTACCAAACTAAGTATGATCTTTAGGAAAACCAAAATTATACAATGGTAAGAAGACAAGATAATTTGGTGTGAACCAGTAAGTCTGCCTTTATCTAAGGAAACAAACATAACAAATAGACTATGGGGCTTTCCCAACATAGCAGGTACTAATATACTGACATAGGCTGCCTTGGAAGATCAATTCACAAATCATTACAAATTATTAGAATTCTGGAAAACTGGAGCATTTAAAAAAACTAAGCCGTATGCTCTTGGTGCTCATTTTCTCTGTAAAGTCTTGCTTATCTCCTGCAAAGGTGCAAATGCATAGGGCAGGGAAGGACAGGAATATGGAAACTTCAGTCCCTTACCTGAAAACACCTGCCCACTTCTTCAACAGAGTCTCGCTATACTGGTCTCTGATTTCTAAAAGCATATCAAAAAGTTGATTCACAGGAAAACCATACACCTGAAAGAAAATAATTAGTTTTTGAAGGAGACTTTTTAAATAAACAAAAGTAAAATTAATTGCTAAAAGATGTCTCATTATTTAAACAATAAAAAATGACATCAGAATTGTTCATCTCTACCCTTATATCTAGTGTTTAACACTCAAAACTTCAAAGACACATATCAAAATTTCTAGGTTCAGCCATAAAAAGAAAACGATAAAAATTTAAACCAATATATACTCTTAGATAAGTTCTTCCTATGGTAGCTTACTGTCCAAAGAATTCTCTAAGAACAGAGAGAAAGTGCAGCTACTCCTATCTCACTAATGTCTACCACCATCACTAAGAAGCGGTAGTGGACTACACCACAAAGTACATGGGTGCTATGGTTGGAACTACAAACACTTAAAACTCTACAGTTTCAAATGATGTGAGCATTTCTTTTCCTCTGACAGAGAAAAGGAATAGGAGCTACTTAAAAGAGCATAACTGGTCAAAATAAAGCCTTGATTACCATTATAAAGAAATAGAAAGATCTAGCTCTAGAAAAAGAATAAACATTAGAAACTCAATAGAGTGAGTCAGGCTTGGGAGAGAAATTCATAGCTGGTGGAATCCTCCTCTAGAAAGGCAACTGTCAATCATGCACGTACCTGGAGTGTGTCAGCAAAGAGTACAATGAGGTTCTTCAAATCTAACACAAGGTTTGGATCAGAACAGTAGGACTAAAGGAAATAGGCAAAAGGGAGAGAAATATCTCATAAAAATATTGCATTTTTACTTATGACATTGTTTAACACACCACCTGGTACAGGCACTTATTAGAGGAGTCTAACCATTTTCTGGCACAAGGTAACAACAAACTCAACCAGAGAAGAACTAAGGAGACAGAGTTCAGTAAAAAGATCTATATCTTTAACATGTGAAAACACATTTTAAAATTCTTTAAAGAAGAAAACAAAATGGGGTCAACAAGATGGCTCAGCAATCAATAAACTAAAATACAAAAATTTTTAAAAAATCAAAATGGATAGATTATTTTAAAATGAGCAACAATAAAACACTTTGTATCAAAACTGTGGTGTGTGTCTAAAGCCATTTTCAAAATAAATCTTTATCTTTCTCTATATGCAAACATTAGAAAATACAAAATACTGAAAACAACCTGACCAAACACTGCACTGATGACACTATGGAAACTTAATGACAAATAACCATGATTATGTAATAAAATGAAATGATGATGTGAAAAAGACATAAAGATCTGATCATTTAAACCAGATAAATATAGAATCAGTAAGACAGGTAACGTAGGTAAGTCTAATTATACAAAAAGAAAAAAGACATTAAACAGTACAAGGGATATAATATAAGCATAAATAAATAGAAAATAAAAATTGCAAATAAGTACCATATAACCTTGCCTGCACACATCTGATTACTTAGTTGACCTGGAAGACAGTTTCCACAAGAAGACTAAAGAGTATATGCTATTAATTTAAAATTTCATCAATTCTGATATTCCAATTTCCTCAGTTATAACTTTATTATTTGTTCTCCAGGCAGCCTCTCAAGATCTGATGGTAATATGTTTGATGTCCCCATAATGAGGATGTATTTGAGTTTTTCCTATTACCATGTATTTTTTCTATGTCTATGTTACTTCTAAAGGATCCTTGTCTTTTTGATGTCAAATAGCTCCAATCTTCCTGCTTGAATCTCTTCTTTCCCTGCTTTCTAGACTGTTGGGATTTCCTTATGTGAAAACTGTTCTAAGCAGTGTCATGGTCTAGCGCTCCCACACTTCCTGGGTTATTGACAGAAATGGACCTACTCAAGCCATCTTATTTTAAGTTTTCTATTTATAAGTTTCTAATTTCCCCAGATTTCCTTCCTTCCATGTATTTTATTGCATGAGTTCTTTCAATTCCTTGAAGTGAGCATTAAAGCCTGTTATTTGAACTAACCTGAAGTGTCCATTAAATATTTCTGAATGTAATTCACCTTTTATTGGACTAATTAATGTGATGGCCATGATGAAGAGTCTGCATGTCTGTCCATTTGGATTGGCTGTCAGTTTCCTCTCTGTCACTCAATCAACCCTTTCCACTTTTCTATTACTACAGACACTGTATTTTCTCAATCTCAGTCAGCTATTTTCCAATTACAATCCTCATTTTTTAACTATTCTTTTCATATTTTCCACCTCTTTGTGACTATGGGATAAATTTCTGACTTCGACTTTGTCTTCTTGATCATGAAAAGGCATGTAGTCTTATCTTGGAATTAAATTTCTGTATCTGATGCTCAAAAATTTCCAAAGAACTATTTTTATATCTTAGATTCAAGTTTATTTTGGTATCTTTCCATTATTTTCTTCTGCTTTATATCCTTTCATGTTAAGAACAGAACATATACAACAAAGGTAATAGCTGCAACTGCAGTTGTACCGGCCTCAGTAAATACTAGCTGCCTGCCAAGAACCTCTCAGATATGCTCACCGGAACCTCATCACTCCCACTCAGGAAAGCATTACGACTTCAATGACAATCATTTTCTTCTCATTCCTTGCTTTTCACTTGTACTTTTTCAATTGATAGACTTCCTTTTTAAATCTACTAAGCTCTTATTTGCTGTTGACTTAAAACATTATACATTCGTTCAATGTAAGGTAGATACCCTGCCAGTAATAAAACTACTGAGATACTGACTATAAATTAAACTAATACACTAAGGAAGTTATATTTTATGCAAATATCCATAAAGTGGTATTCCAGGCATAAGAAACAGGAACAGTGAAGGACTACCATGGACAAGTGTTCAAGGAGTGATGAGCAGCCAGCAACAAGAAAATTTGACATTTTAAAGTTTTAGTAAGTTGTCCACTATCCTGCCACTAACACCTCCACTGAGTTAAGTTTAATGTGTAGTTGGCCAGCAAAAGCCTAGAGGTCTCAGCCTAGGCAAGCAGAGAGGAAGGCCAATTGTAGAGCAACACTCACTACAGCAATTCTCTAGCAATATGTATAAATGTGAAGAGCACATAAATAGGAAGCACATAACAACGTACTAATGATAATATGCTGCTTAGTATACATTGAGAATGAAGTATATAAAATACACAGACCACTGCTCGACACACAAAGAATAATGGATAGACACGAGGGGTTGTTTCTTATTGCAGATAGCATCAACAAGGCAAGCGCAGTGCTACAGAACTCAGAAGTATAAATTAATCACTTTCACAGTCTCCAAACAGGGATTGCCAAAGAGATATATGTCGAATTGAAATCAGTGCAACACCAAACACTATGCAGATTCTCAGTGGTGAGGAAGCACTTCCTGTGGTGCCCTACATACCGAGTGGGTGCGCAATGCTGCGATGGTCTTTGAAAGTGCCATTTCCCACAACTCGTCAATGTAGGCTCTATTCACTAAACCTTGGGTTGTATGCAAAATGTGATCTTCAACTACAAAAAAGCTGAGATTAGGAAGAAAACACAGATGTCAGAGGATACAGTTGCTATAGCTTGACCGCTAAGCTTTGACATTAGCAATTGTCATGTAATTCAAAGGGAATACTTTTTTCTGAAGAAAGATATTCATTATCATAAAGAAAATTACTTAACATATTGAACAAGTCTCTATAATCATATTAATATCTTAGATACTCTACCAAGATGGAAGTATCATTTCTATCAACCACGAGCCCAACAATTTAAAAGAGGAAGTATATACAGCTTGTAGACCTTACTTCCAACATAGTTTAAAAATATAATACACTTCAAGAAGCTAATTTTAAGTAGAAATTTATATATTTTAAGAATTAAACATATAACACATCAAAATAATTCCCCTAATTAGGTCTATAACTCCAGAAACTCAGGAGGCTAAAGCAAGCTTTGCCTAAGCTCCAGAATGATTTTTCAAGTAACTTTATGAAACTTTATCTTAAAATAAAAACTCAGAATAAGATATTTTTTAAAATTAAATTTTATGTTTTGAATTTCCTTGTTTTAGCTTATTGTGCATTTAAAACATATCTTCAGTTACCTTGATGCTCATTCAAATCTAAAGAAAACTTAATTAGCAGGTTTTTAAATTACTAAAACACCCACACCCACACCCAAGGTCTCATGTCGCATGTAGTTCAGGCTGACCTTACACTGCCTGTATAGCAAAAAATAACCTTAAACTACTGACCCTCCAGCCTCCACATTCCCAGTGCTGGGGTTACAGGTGTGTGCCACCACACCTTCTTTTCTGCTGTGCTGAGGATGAAAGCCATGCATGCTAGGCAACCACTCTAACAATAGCTACATCCTTCAACCCTCAATGATAGGCATAATGGAGGTTACTCATTACATGGAAGCAATATAAATCTGATGAAAGAAAGCAATGGAGGAAAGAAGGAATGCTAGAGAAAAAGTGAGAGAAGGAAGAAGAGGTGGTCAAGTAAGCTCGATGAAATAATCAAATTCCGCTGCCTTTCTTCTAACCACGGTCACCATCTCATAGTCGGAAAAAGCTGCTTGTTTATGAGGGCCTTCATCCAGTAACCCTAACACTACTGTGTCCACTCTAGATGGGAACAACTTCTTCATCCCACCCTGTGGAATCAGCCTGGCAGCAGTCTGTTTAATAAGGCTACTCTAATGTAACCGTTTTACCCACAGATTTCTGAATCATACACAGCTGTTTTCAGACTAGCACAGAACCAAATTGTTGTGACAAAGTTGCTAAATTCTTCTGGGTCTAAAATATTTTGCTGTCTGAAAAAATTCTTCCACTGCGGCTGATTATCTCATTCCATATTGGAACAAAGAATGAAGAAACAAAACATCAAGTATAATAACATTATGAGTCCATTTTTAATTATTTACTCATAAAAGCATCCTCCAAAAATATAATGCTAGAAAGGGTAAGCTGTCCCTTTCATTTTTGTTTTTGAAATAGCGTATCTCTGTGCAGCCCAGGGTGATACTTGTCTCCTAACCTCCCCAAGCACTGACTGAGAGCTGTGTTACCTTGACCCAGAGATGTTCCTTCTTAATTATAAGAAAATAAAAATCTATTTTTTCTCTTGAATTTACCAAAAAGCATAGAAAAAATTTCAAAAGTAAAGGTATATCTTTTATAACTCTTACAAAAGAAGTATAGAAACTTAAATATGTACCTACCCTACAATTTGATTGAAATACTTCCTGTAGCCATCTAAGGTTTCATGCTGCAACAAGAAAAGCAAAATTACTGTTTCTGAGTTATTACTTTTAGATGTGAAAATCAGTTACTTATTTTCGGGAACTTAATCTCATAGACCATAAGGTAAGTATAACGATAACGCCACAATTCTACAAATTAACAATGGAAATGAGTAAACTGATACATACCCAGAACATAAAATAATGGATAGCACCTAACAGTCAAGAACATTTACAGCCATTTTTACTTCAAGGCACATTTGCCAAAGTTGTGTGAGAATGACACCAAGCACATATAGGCAGGTGCACATGCATAAATGTACACAGACACATAGACACACACACACACACACACACACACACACACACACACACAAGCATGCACAGTTAGCTACCAGGAAGAAAAAAGTAAAAGTACAGAAAGTGCAGGTAGCAAGCCTACCATGTTTGACGGAGGCTGGAGCACCAAACGAGCCTGTTTTCGTCTCTGTTTTCGGTAGTAATTTTCAAACGTTTCTCGGGCACCCTGTAAAACAAGCAAGAGGAAATAATATAATTGCACCAATTATCCTTAAAATGGATAAGAATTGAGCAGACTTCAGGTGTAGAATTTAAAGAACACCATATATCTCAAAACCTACTATTGTAATGATGATAATCACAAATAATAAAAGCAACTATGACCATTTATTGAACCTAATCACAAAACCCTGAAGCATAGACAGGAGTGACATTTACAACAACATGGATACAATGAAAGCTTTAGCACACCAAGGCCAGTTTCTGAGTCAGTAATTATAAATTCACTAAAATTAAAGTTAAAAAAGAACAGTAAAATGTTACAATAAGTAAGAAAATGTCCCTTCAAAAACAAATAGAACATTTCAGAAGGAAAACTGCCCAGTATGAAAAACAGCTTAGATAGGATTCAAAGTAAGAAAGGCAAGAGCTAAGGATGACAAATCCTTTCCTCGGGTGAAGTCTTACCAAGAAGACCAAGAAAGGCTCTTTCGGACAGACTGGTGTGTGCTGAAAGAGGCAGAGGTGGGGCCACTCAGACTTAAGCAAAGAGCACCTAGAACTTCTGGGACCCACAGATGCTAGGAAGAAATGAAGATTCTTCCCATAGTCTCAAAAGGGAATGTGGCCTCCAAGATGCCAAGATGCTTTTAATTTGTAATTCAAGCTTCCAGAACTGGGATAGAACAAACTTCTGTTGTTGTAAGTCATATAGTTTGTGGTACTTGCTATAGCAGCGCTAGCAAAATAGTACAAACTGAGAGGGTTTTGTTATAATATGCCCCATTGTGACTTAAATGTTCTTAACCCGAAACTTTTCTCAATCGAGTAAAAGAAGCAGAAAGATCCCATGGAGACTAAGAGCACTATTTTAGACCCAGGTGACTAGATTCTAACTACGGTTCTGCCCATCCTACCAATGGAACTGCTAATTTATATTTCACTATCTATTCATCTGTGCTTGTGCAGTATCCTTTTCATGTGTAAAGATTTCAACCTTGTCCCCATGCCTTGCTCAGCCTGCTTTCTGATACCACCACCCAGAACAACCACCTGTCCACGGGTGAGACCATAAGCAGTGAGCCTGATCCTTCCACATCAATCATCAATCAAGAAAATGCCTACTGTACTCCATCAAGCATTAATTAAAATTTGAAAATTAAAACCACAAAAGAAAAAGATTTCAACCTTGTGCAGCTGCTACATGGACTTAATGAGATATGAAGCCTCACCCAAAACAAGCATTTATATATGCCCTTACTTTTTAAGATAAATCAGATGAGCTAGGTGGTAAGGAGAAAGCAGCCTCTATTCGTGCAATTATCTAGGGTGTGTTCTTCCACCACATAAAAAGTTGAAGCTTATTCAGCATGACTTCTTTGTTATGTTATTATCTACCTGAACTGAGAACACTAACTGAAGTCACAATCAAACAAACATACCACAGAGTAGGGTGGGTTTTGGGCAAAAACCCTCTGTAAAGAGGACAACTGCTTCTCCAGGCTGACCAGCAGCTGCTTCACTAATTCTTCTGCAATGCTGAGATGGCTGCAGACAACCACAAAGAAATGTGGCATGTACCCAAAAACCTTTCTTGAAGAAACCGAAATAGATATTCTAATTTTTACATTTCAGGAAGTCTTACTTTTTTATGTTAAGAATGTCAAACTCAGTTTCAGTCCACAGACTAAATAGATACAGGTCGCAAGATGAACTTGGCCCCTGGATCATGGCTATTAAGCCCTGTAACCTTAAAAACAAACACCTAAAACTGCCAAAGTGATTATCACTCTCTACAAGTACTTCTTATCTATAAAATGAAATCAAATATTAGCATGACTGTTTCATCACTTTATTCATTCACCATTTAATGAGGAAGGAAATTATTCAAATTATTAAGTAACAAGTGGAAACTGCCATTTGATATGCTAAAGTTATTCCCTACTTGTTACCAACACATAGGATACTGGTGCTGTTAAATGTCAATTACATGCTGTATACACTGGAGGGCTTTTCATTTTAAGGTTAACAGCCCTAAATGACCTTTATTATCCTAGTGTGACATTACATATTTAACATTCTTCAGAGCCAAGATACACTTAGCCGTGAATTTAGAGAAAGCCTCCATTCTAATTAGACCATCAGGCACTAATTTGATTTCTTTCTTGTAAATGATAGAGAATATACAAGAGGAAATTCTATATAAAAATCAAATTCATTTTCTTTCTAATATTCCTTCAATAGAAAAAGGACCAACTTATCTAATAAGTCTGGCTTCCAAGTTTACAAAGGTGAGTTGGATTATCCCTGGTGGCTATTAAATAATTCACCTTTAATAAGTCTATTACTTCGGCCAATTTTATCAACTTGGTGTCTAAAGGCAAATTCAAGAAGCAGGCATTTGCCCAGTCTAGTCTGAGTAACTGGTACTTCCCCATTCAGAAACAGGTCACTAGATGAACACAGGGGCTTCATTTTAGCTCCAAACTCTGAATCACTAACAGATTCTATAGTTTTGAAGGAGAGGAGAAGGGAGGGACATAAAGGATTAGTTTACTGACAGAAAATGTTTGGGGAGCAGGTGGGACCTAACATTTATACAAATTGAAAGAATTAGAGCTGGCGGGGGGTGGAGGGGGGAGTAGCGCACGCCTTTAATCCCACTCAGGAGGCAGAGGCAGGGCAATCTCTGTGAGTTTGAGGCCAGCCTGGTCTACAAGTGCTAGTTCCAGGACACAAGCTCCAAAGCCACAGAGAAACCCTGTCTCAAAAAACCAAGAAAGAAGGGAGGGAGGGAGGGAGGGAGGGAGGGAGGGAGGGAGGGAGGGAAGAAGGACAGTTCTGAGATGCATTTAAAGGCACATGAACAAAGTAGATGTTGTGATAAAGAATAGGAGCTCACACACCATTCCTATCTTGGGTTAACAGTTTGATGGCATCTCGTTTTAAAAAAGGAACACAGGGGAAAGGATAAAGTGCATTTTCATTGTGAAAAAACTCTGAACCTGCAAATTCATCACTTGTTAAAAGTTAGCTGAACTACAAAATCAATACTCAGAGCCTGTTCAAAAATATTCATAGTTATGTGAAGAATTTCTAAAACTTCAAATTATCCAATGCACATGTTCTTAGTTAAGGTCAAACAAGGCAATACGCCACCTTTTGTTTCAGGTCAAATACTGTAAACCTGTATCACTTTCATGGCCTATCCAATGCCACATTCTATGTATGCATTTTTGTGCTTTTTGTTCATTATTCTGCCCTTTAAAATGGCCCTTAGCTGTAACAAATAAAATGTTATCCAGTGTTCCTAAGCTCATAAAGGCTTACAATGTGATTTACAGAGAAAACCTGTGTGTTAGATAAGCTTTCTGCAAACATTACTATAGTGTAATTGGCTGATATGATTTAATATACTGACACCAACAGTATATTAAAGAAGATATCTCTTTGTTTTGCTTGTAGTAGAGAGGGTGTTGTTTTGGCATAAGCTCTCATGTAGCTGAGGATGGCCATGAACTGATCTTCCTGGCCCCACCTTTTAGGTGTCAAACACCTAATCAGTGTTTTATTAAACTAATACAAGTGACAAATCTTTACATGGTTAAAGATCACTGTCCCGCAGTAAAAACATCCTTCAACATCTTTTATCCACACAACTATCCTCAAAGGCATATTCTCCAATCATACAAATATCAGAATCACATTAAATATTTGAAAATAAAATACAAGTAAAAGCCTGAATTCTTCATGTGTTTAAGTACTTGCCTAGACAGGAATAAAACATAATCAATGAATACTTCCATCCAATGTGGACAAATGGGTGAGGCTTTGTGTTTAGGTATAAAGGAGCAGGAAAATCGGCTTCTAACCAAGTTCAAATACACAATCTGCAGATATAGGTTACAAATGTGCACCATCAAACAATTGGGACCATGTGGGTCTAGGACAGAAAGAAAGGAAAGAGAGGGGGGGGGGGAGAAAGGTCAAACAAAGAACCTTTCTATGGATGCCTTTCCTCATACTGATAAAATGTATACCATATCTAGTTAGCCATCCATATATGTGGGCTCTGCATCTGTAGTTTCAACCAAGTATGGATCACAAATATTCCTAAATGAAAAAGAGGTAAATGGTAAACTGGTTCAGCAGGTTATATCTAAGCCAAACAACTTTAGTCCAATCCTTGGAGTACCATATGCATGAAGGAGAGAACTAATTTCCAAACTGTCCTAAGATCAGCATAGAATACTGTGGCATGTGTCTACACACTCATGCAAGGGGGAGGGGGGAAATAAATAAATAAATATAATAGATTTTCTTTAAATATTTAGAAATCCACAGAACTGTACACATAACATATACAGGTTGTTTCCCATATCACTATTCCCTAAACAGCAAGTATATCAATTCCTTATGAAGACTTGCATTGTGTTAGACACCGTGACTAACATGGAGGTGACTTATAGTGTCTGGAGGATATGCACAGGTGACAGACAAAGCCACAAAGACTGTTTTTCACAGTAAGGCAAGGAAAATACCTCATGGATCCTATGGAACAACCAAGTACAAACATCTATTTCATGTAGTTACTGAGTCTCATGTCTTAAAATAATAATGGAATTTTTGTGTAGTATTATAGAAATGGTAAAAAGCTGACATCAAGAAGCCGCCTCATGTGGGCAATAACTCTACAAAGTATGCAAAAGAGGACAGACACTATATCCTCTTCGATGGCATACTGACTAGGACATTGGCTGACTTCACAAGTCTTAACCGAGCAATTCTTTCTATGGTTTGCTGACTATGAAAGACTTTTTTACTAATCACTGTAAAGAAAATAACCCTCAGACTAAGAAATAGCAAAACACCTAAACAAAGAACAAAGAGGTGAACAGAAGAAGGGAAATGCAAACCATTGTTCTTCCGGCTTGTCTACAGGAAGCAATATTTCCATTTGGGCAAAGCCTGTAATTTCACCACCCTGCCTGCAGCTGGAACACTCTT